GAGGGGTAGGGGAAAGGAAAGAAGGGAATGGAATTAATATGAGAAAAAGAATAAATGGAAACAAAGTCTTTGTAAATAGGGAGGGATGAAGGGGTTGAAGGGAGGGCAGGGGAAGGGGGAAAAATAAGAACCAAGAGAATATGTAAAGATGCAAATTTCCAATGATGAATGTCATTATATTGTTTACCTAAAATGTACCAATAAAAGGATATACAGTTTAAAAAAACCAACAAAATCTTAATGATTACTTTGAATATAGGAATTACAAGTTTTTCCCCTTGTCTTTGCTCTTCTATACCCCCAAAATTTCTGCATTCAACATGTGTTTCTTTGTAATTAAAACTAAAACAAGTAACATTTTACTTTTTTTTTTTGGTTCTGGGGATGGAACTCGGGTCCTTCTGCTTGCACAGCAGGTGGCAAAACCACTGAGCTAAATCCCTGGCTGGACATTTCCCTTTTTAAAGCATGGTATTAAGTATGACTGACTAGTTGCGTAGAACTCACAGTGTGTCTGCATTATGAAATCATCACAAGTTCAGGGGCTCATTCTCAACTATTAAGAAACACATTTTCAGTACTGCACTAAAGAACTAACCATGATCAACAATAAGACTGGTTCCCTGCCCTCACTTGTCCATAGAATAAATTCCCTGAAATCTAATTACTTCTTCAAAGAATTTGACTCTTCTAAGGCTTTTGAGTCAGAGTTCCAAGTTACTTTTTAAAAAATACTTACAGTGTAGGGAAGAATAGTATTTTGCTCTCTGAAGCACTGGGTATTTTCATTACTGGCTGCCATTTGAACATTTAAAAATTACTCTTTATTTTAATTTATAGTTTTTAAAAAACCCTACATGTTCTTTATCCATTTGTCTGTTGATGGGCATTTGGGCTGTTTCCAAGAATTTGTATTTTTAAAAAAAGTTTCTAGTCCTTGACAAATTGATATACTTTTTAGCTATTCTGTCTTTGGTTATAGCTTTTACGCAGAGCAGATGTGGTGCCGTTGGGGGTGTTCTGTTTTTTAAATGACTCCCCACTTCCACATTTAATGCCTCTAATCAATTCTCCATCCAGCAACCATACAATGATCCCTTAAAAACTAATCAGATCACATCCTTCTCTAGCATAAAACCACCCCATTGCTCCCCATTGCTTATATTTATTTATTTTGGTGGTTCTGGGGATTGAACCCAGAGCCTCAAGCATAGAGCCAAGCACTCTACCATTCAGCTACATACTCCTAGGCCCTTATGGGTTTTAAAATAATATTCAGTAATTGATAATATGAAATAGGAAGAAAAGGTCCAAAGGGGTAGGGGAAGTGGGAGGGGTAAGGGAAAGGAAAGAAGGGAAAAGAAAAAATATGAGAAAAAGAAAAAATGGAAACAAAGTCTTTGTAAATAGAGAAGGGTGGAAGGGGGTGAAGGGAGGGCAGGGGAATGGGGAAAAAATACGAACCAAGATATGTCATGTAAAGGTACAAGCTCCCAATGATAAATGTAAATGCATTGTATACCTAAAATGTACCAATAAAAGAATTTTTTAAAACAAAATAAAATTCAGACTCTGCCACCGTGGCCAAGGCTCTGCTATGGAACCTTGAACACCACTGAAGTTACACACCGCCTTCCCTTCTTCATTCCAGAACGTGAACTACCTCATGTTATTTCCCTTTAAAAAATAAAAGCCAGGTGTAGTGGCACACGCGTGTAATTCTAGCACTCAGGAGGCTGAGGAAGGAGGATCACCATAAGTTCAAGGTGGGCGTGGGCTACACTGTGAGTTCAAGACCAGCCTGAACTACATAGGGGGACCCTGTCTCGAAACAAACAAAAAGCTAGACATGCTCTTTCCTCATATTTTTTACATTCTGGTCCCTCACGATTTAGCTCAAACAGCACCCCCTTTTCGCCCTCCATCACATTCACCCAGTTTTATTTACTTTGAAGCACCTATTGCAGTTTTAAATTATCGTCAGCATTTGTTAGTTCACTCTTTCTTTTCCTATTTCCCAGGCTAGAATACAAGCTGAAAGGGATGCAACTTTGGCAGACTTTATGTAATGAATGCATCTTTATCTTTTCTGTGCTAGGGATTGAACCCAGAGTCTTAGCGCCACCCACCTCCTCACCCTCCTTTTAAATTTTGAGGCAGGACTGCGACAAGTAACTAAGTTGCCCAAGCAGGGCTCCAACCTGAGATCCTCCTGCCTCAGTCTCCCAGTGCTGTGACCAAAGGCATGCGCCACCACCCTGTCACTCAGTGCGCCTCTGCTTTAAGGAGGGAGCCAGCTAGATTAATTTGTGTATACTGCAACAGGGCTACCTCTTAATGGAGCCAGCGCGGTCTAGCTGGGGGATTTCTAGAAATTTCGGGGAGGAAGTTTAACCAAGAATTAGAGAGCCAGGCGGCGCAGAGGGCATCGCTGCAGCGTAGTCCTCGCAAGTTTGAGAGCATAAGAGGCCAAGCACGGGAGAGGTGGCCCCAGAGCCATCGGGGTTTGGGGTGTGTGTGTGTTCAGTTTTGGTTTTTGAGACGAAGGCCTGAGGTGAGGCAGAGAAGACCGAGTCAGGAATGATCTCTCTCTGGCGCTCTCTCTAGGGGACGCCCAGGCGGACTCTAGCAAGACGCCACAATCGACAGAGGCTCGGGAATGCTTAAGTGGATTTCACAATGAAAGTGTTTTCCTGACGTTTAAAACAAACGCACAACTTACGGAAAAGCCTGGAAATGCAGAAAGGGGTCACATCTCCGCCCAAAAGCATTTCCGGAGCCTCTGGCCTCCAGTAGTTAATTCCGCGCGGCTGGGCCAGGAGAGCGCGCGCTGACGCCGCCGGGTCGCTACTGCGCAGGCGCGCGCGGGCTCGCGGCGGGGTCGCGCATCGGTTAGTTCGCGCGGGAGCGGCGGGTTGAGGGGGAACGGAGGCTATTGCGGGGCGTAGAGGAGGCAGGATGGCGACCCCGGGCAGTAAGACGCCGACCCTGGCTTCCAAGAGGGCACTCCCGGCAGATCCTCCCTCCGGAGTCCTGAGCAAGAGAAAGAATTCAGGCCCTCTGCAGTCGCGGCTGCCGTCGTCTGGGCCTTTCGTGGAGGGCTCCATCGTCCGCATCGCGATGGAGAACTTCCTGTGAGTGCCAGGCCGCGGCGAGAGGGGTGCGTGGCGTGCACGCCTGCGAGTCTAGCGGGAATTCGTGCGCGGCTTCCCGTGAGGATCTTTTGTAGGCCCTGCGCGTAGCCGTAGTAGATGTGTCTTGTGTAATTTTTTAAAAAATTCATTCACCTACCTTTTTTGAAGGCGTCGTATACCAGTCAGGGGCGGTACCAAGGGACTAGGTCTGCCCGCTGGGAATGGCGAGCTATAAAGGGATGTGGTCTGCAGTTCCCAAAAGTCTTGGCCCGGGAATTCGGAGAGAGGCCGCCCTTAAGTTGGAGTGACAGTCGTGCTGTGGCAGGTTGCTTACGTCTAGGCATTGGCTTGGTGGATAGAGAGAAGATGAGATGGTAATGGTCAAGGTGTACCCACAGAGTTAAACCTTACTTTCAGTTGTTGGACCTCCCACCAGACCCTTGACCCCAACAAATACAGCTTTCTTCCCTGGCTTCTCTTCTCTCCATTAGACAACTAATTACTAGTTTAGAATCTAAATGTGTTACGACAAAAATATGTCTGTCTAGCGCCTACAGTTCATTTTTTTCCCCTCTTAAATGTAAATTTACACACAGTGGCATACCCATCACAGAATTGGAGTAGCAATTCCATTATTATTTTCCCCAAATATTTATCATGTGCCAGGTACAGAATTAGGTATTTTGTTTAACACATTGCTTTGTTTTTTTATTTGTAACTCTTTGTCTCCATTGATGAGATAAGCTTAGGTTAATTTTGTCCAGGTTTACATAGCTAATACATAACTGAATTGCTCTTTGAATCCAGATCAGTAAATATAGTCAAACGAAGAAGATAAGGTGTGTACCAAGATGCCTTGAGAGAGTGTTTAATTTCATTCACAGTTGTGAGAAGTTTGTAGAGAAAGTATGAAAAGTTTGTAAAGAAAGTATGAATGTCTTAGAAGTAGGAATTGCCTGAAAGAAAGTTTGGAGTTTTAGGAAGTTCGGGTGTTTCAGTATGACTACAACGTAGGATTCTAGTGAATATGTAGACAGAGATAGGCAACCATTGAGTGTCAATATATTTGCTGTGCTAAGAAATTCTAGCTTCAAGCAGGATTCAGACTGCAGTATAGCTGTTAAGTACTGTGTTGTGGTTCCCCCTGCTCAAAATAATGTTGCTTCTTAACTATACCTGTCTGCTATACCTGTGTAGCACCCAGGGACACTTGGTCTCATACATGTTAAAATTAAATGTTGGCTTGAGTGGAGATTGTTCAATTAAGGTTTGTTTACAAAAAGAAAGAAATTTCAGCTTTATCATAACTCTGGGCAGGCTGGATGTGTTTTTGTTGTTGTTGTTTTTGTTTTTTTGAGGCAGGGTCTCCCTTTGTAGTTCAGGCTGGCCCTGAACTCACTATGTAACTTGCTGGGATCCTCCTGCCTCAGCCTCTGGAGTGCTGGGATTACAGGATAGGCTGGATGTGTTTTAAGCAGGGAATCACATGTGGGTGTGTGTCCACTTGGAAGCACTGTGGAGGGTTTTTTGTTTGTTTTTGTTTTTTTACTGTGGAGGGTTGAAGGGTTGAAGAGTTTAAGACTGAAGGGAAGAAGATTTTTCTAATATGAAGGTGAGAGAGTTTGAGCAGAGTAGGAATTGAGAAGCAAGAGATTCAGTAGGATCTTGGTTTATATAGTGAGGCATGAAGGGACAAGAGGATTGCAGCAAAAGTTTTCTTAAGTCTCTGTCTTCACTAACTGGTCAGGTACTGTTCAGTTTGAGGAGAAATATTAAATGTCTTTTAGGTCCTGTGACTTGGTTTTCTGTGTGATATCTAAGAGATGTTCTATAGGCAGAATTTATAAGGATCTGGAACTCAGAGAAAAATGTAAACAAGTCAGAGATTTGAGAATCATGCATATATAGGTAATAACATTACCGAATTTGTTGAGATTGCCCAAAAGGAAATATAAATTGGAGGAACAGAAAGCCTACATGCAAGAGAGGGGAGCTGGCTCACAGACTAAAAAGGAGCTGTTCAGGGAGATAAAATGAAAACCATGGGAGAACCAGAGAAGCTAAGAAAAAATGTTTCAAAAATACTGCCTGTTAAAGTCAGATAACTGGACTGAAAGAGCATTCCACGTTAGGAAATCTTTGACACCTTAATGAGGCAGTAGAAAACTGCAGACCAGAGAAGAATCAATGAGGAACGAGGAAGTAAAGCTTGGATGTAAAGAGGAGAAAGAAAAGGTGACTGGAAAGTACAGAGCTAAGTGAAATTTTAGTTGTTTTAATGACTGAGTTTAGGAGTGAAGTATGGAGTGGTAGGCTTAGAGAATTAGTTAGGAAGTGTGAGGGGTAGACCTGGAGAACTCAGATGATCTGGAGGGGTTCCTATGAGTAAACCTAGTTGGGAGTGGAGGGAGAGATTTCTAGGCTGAAGCAATAGCACGCAAAGTGTTGGAGAAAGAGGGAAGCATAAGCTAGTCAAGAGACTGGAAGAGGCCATGCCTATTGGTGCATGCCTGTAAGTAATCTCAGCTACTGAAGAACCTGAGGCAGGAGGAAGATCACAGGTTTGAGGCCATCCTGGGCAATTTAGCAAGACCCTGTCTCGAAATAAAATTTAAAAAGATCTCGGGATGTAGTTCATAGGAGAACATTTTCCTAGCAGGTGCAAAGCCCTGGTTTCATCCCCAGTACTGCCAAACACACACACACACACTCACACACACTCACACACACTCACACACGCACCTTCAAGGAAATACCGTATCTTATAGGTAGAATTTAGGGGTCTGAGCACAGAATAAGAAAGGAGATTGAAAGTGAGAAAAGACGCTAGGGGTAAATTACAATGGATCTTTTGTTTTATTTTTTTTTAACAAGTTACATCAGATTTACTTGTCTAACAACATGACTTTGTGTCTTAGTTACTTTTCTCGTTGCTAAGACAAAATACCCACCAACCAAAATTAAAGGAGGAAAGGTTTATTTAGCTTACTTTGCAAAGGTTTCAGTCCATAGTCAGCTGGCTCCAAGGCAGAGTAGCATGGCAGAGGGCCATGGCAGGGGAGAAACAATCCATGGCAAAGCAAGGCAGGCAGAAGGCAGCAAGCAGTGAAACACCAGAAGCACCAGCAACAAGCCTGCCTCTCCCTTTTATCTCATCCAGGCTACACGCCTTTTGTTGGTACCACTTATACCCAAGGTGGGGCATCTTTAATCCCAGCATTATACAATTTATATCCAGCTACCTCAGAAAAGCCCCATCTAAGATCGCATGAGGCTTTTAGGGGACCCTTGGTGATTGATTGGATGATGGGTGATGATGGATGATTGGCTGTGGGTAGAGGCAAAAGAGATGAAAGAATCAAAGATGATGCAAAAAAAAATCTAGGTTTCTGATTTGAGCAACAGGATGAAGATACTATTCATTAAGTGATCATAAGAGTGGTCTTGGGAAAATTTTGCATTTAGTTTTGAATGTGTTAAATTTAAGGTAATTTTGGTGGGACATCCAAATAGAGTTATTATGGGGGTAATTGCATGTGTTAGTCATTTGGGGTGGCAGTCAGAAAGTAGACACCACCTGAGGTTATGGAGAATACCTGAGACAAATTAGAATGCCTGAGTCAGAGTTTGCTTCACAATTTGCCAAAGCTATTCCCAATACTAATAAGAACTAGATGCTAACTGTGCAGGGAGTTAGATTAACTTTATGGTGTAAAGGAATATTACAGGTAAATAGCAAGCAACTTTATGATAAGAAGAAATACTATGAACATGTTTGATGGTGTTGCATTCTTGCTTTCTCCTATAGGGATAAAAATTATTTGAACAGAAACAGTAGATGCGTTGATGAATTTTCTGGCAGCATGCTAAAGGAAATTAATGTTACTTTCTTAAGTTAATAATAAAATTACTGGGTGGATATGTATCTTCAGTTTTATAATTTTCTTTTTCCTTTTATTCCCAATACCGGGGCATGAACTCTGGACCTCGTGCTTGTAAACAAGGCAGGTGTGGCGCCACTGAGCTAAATCCCGGACCCTTTTTGTTTGTTTCGTTTGTTTTAGAAAGGTTCTTGTTATATAGCCCAAGATGGCCTCAAACTCAAAGCTATCCTACATCAGTCATCCTCCCAAGTGCTAGGATTACAGACATGAGCCACCCTGCCTGGCTCCAGTTTTCTAAGTTAAATAAGAATAATTTAGTTGGATTTTTCCGAATATTAAAATATGAGAAATGGCTCTTAAGGCATTTTAATTCAAGAGAAATACAAATATAAAATCATAGATTTAAGAAAGTTTGTTTCATATAAAACTTGTTTTTAAATTATTTGTCCAGTAGCTTTGATACAGTCTTTCATATATTGTAATTATTTAAAAAAGAAAATTATATCAAACTATACTTTTTTGTCTGTTTGTTATGAAACAAAGTCTCACTGTGTAGCTCAGCCCGGCCTTGAATTCACAGAGATCAGTCCTCTTGCCTCAACCTCCTTAGTACTTGGTCGACAAGCATATGTAACCACACCTGGCTTATCAAACTGCTTTTTTGGGCAGACTTATTTCTGAAAGGGGATGTGAAAGGTTATTTTCTCACAGATGTTCTTATTTTAGATATGCATTATCACTTTTTCATTTCTTCTCCTGATAGATTTTCCTTCTGTAGTTTATTAGAAACTTACAGGGCTGGGGATGTAGCACAGTGGTAGAGTTTTTGCCTAACATGTGCCAAAGTGCTGGTTTGATCCCAGCACCTACCCCTTCCTCAAACCCCCTCACATTAAATTTGTAAGGTTAGCAGGTTTTTAAGTGAATTTGAGGAAGATTGTAGATAATGATAATATAAAGCAAGAAAAAGTGTTTTTGTAAAGAAAATATTTTTTCTCTTATCTCTGCTTGTTGATTCACTTCTATATAATTCAGAACCTATGATATCTGTGAAGTATCTCCCGGACCCCACTTGAACATGATTATTGGAGCTAATGGAACAGGGAAGTCAAGTATCGTGTGTGCCATTTGCCTTGGATTAGCAGGCAAACCTGCTTTTATGGGACGGGCAGATAAGGTGAGTTAACAAATTACTTTTTAAGAAAATTCAGTCATTAATTGCTTTTAAAAACTAATGAGTTTCTACATTTCAGTTCTTTGGGTATTGTAAATTTATAGTGATGAATATGAGGGATGATTTTGGTAGGTAGAAGCTAGAAGGATATTTTTTGGTAGGTGCAGGTTAATTTATTTTTCTTTATATTTTTTATTATATTGCAGTATTGTAATCATTTTTGAAATAAATTTTACTTTTATTTTATCCCATTCCCCCCATGTCCCCTCCCCACCTTATATATAAAAGCTTTGTTTCATTTTTTTCCTTCTATTTTCATTTTTTTTCTTGTCCCTTCCTTTCCTCTCTCCCTCCTCCCTTGTTCTTCTTCCCATTTGAACACTTTCTTTCCATTTCTCAATATTTGTTAAACATTTTAGTCCTTATTTCCACTTTCAGTTTCTCACACCAGGGAAACAATGTGGTATTTAAATATGTGTGTCCAATTTATTTCACTTAAAGAGTATGGTCTCAACATCCACCCATTTAGCTATAAATGTCTGAAGCTCACCCTTCTTTATGGCAGAGTAGTTCTCCATTGTATTAAAAAACCACATATGTTTATTCACTTGTTGGTTGATGGGCATTTGGGCTGTTTCCAAGATTTAGCTATTGTAAACTGTGCTGCTATAAAGTGTGCATATATCGCTGTGGTGTGATGGTTTTAATTCTTTCAGGAAGACACCAAGAAGAGGAATAGCTGGATCAAATGGAACCTCTAGGTTTAGTTTTTTGAGAACTTTCCACACTGATTTCCACAGTGGTTGCACCAGTCTACATTCCCAACAATGGAGAAGGGTTCCTTTTTCCCCATACCCCCTCTGGTGTTTGTTATTGGTTGACTTCTTGATAGCAGCCATTGTTTCTTGAGTGAGATAGAATCTCAGTGTTGTGTTAATTTGCATTTCACAAATGACTAGTGATGTTGAACATGTTTTCTTTTTCTTTATTTTCTGGTACTGGGGATTGAACTCAGGACCTTGCGCTTGGGAGGCATGCACCACTGAGCTAAATCCCTGGCCCTGACCATTTCTTCATATATTTATTTGCTGTTTCTAATTCTTCATCTGAGAAGTATCTTTTCATTTCAGATGCCCATTTTTTTGATTCGGTCTTTAAATTAGGGGCATCTGATTTTTTTGAGTTCTTTATATATTCTGCATAATAGTCCTTTATCTGAATAGCTGGTAATAAATTTTTTCTCACTCTGTGGGTTGTCTCTTCACTCTGTTGGTGGTTTCTCTTGCTGTGCAAAAGCTTTTTAATAAGATGAGGTCCCAGTTGTTGATTCTTTGAGTATTTTCTGTGTGGTCTGGGTTTTGTTCATAAAGTCTTTGCCTATTGCTGTGTTCTCAAGTGTTCTACCTAGTCTGTCTTCCAGAAGTTTAGTGTTTCTGTTTTAATATTTAGATCTTTGATCCATTAGGATATTTTTTATGTCTAGAAATATCATACACTTTAGTGACTTCTCCAAATACTTAATAACTGAATTGCTAGATATAATAATGTCATTTTTTTAAATGCATTGCAGGGCTTGTGGAAATGCAGAATAAATTTACCAAGGGCAGAAACATAATAGTGTGAAGGATAGAAGCAAGTTCTGGAATAGTTTTTCTGGGGCATTTGCTGATACCTTGTACCTTCGGGTCTGACTTTGAGTTGTTTGCACAGGTCCTAGAAAGTAGAGAAGGGCTAGAAGATAAGACCTGTGTGAAGAACAAAAACAGTATCACAGAATTAGATAGTACATTTAGTTACATGATTATTAGGTATAAAAGGGGGGGAGTGGTGAGAAAATCGTACAAAGAATTCATAATAACAGCCTTAACATGTTTGAGGCCAGAATTCATATTATCTATATGGCCTAGAGAGCATAAATTACAATTTTAATTTCAAGTAGTTTGAGTTAGTAATATCTCCACATACTTGGCAGAACAAATGTAAATCTTTCAATCTCGTCCTTAATATTCTAAGAAGTTCATGAATTAATGCCTAAAAATCACGAAACATAGGAGAAAATGAATCATGAAATGATTAAATCTCAAAAACATAATTTTAAGTGAAAATGCTATCTTGAAAGATTACGTATATAACTTTAACAGGAGACCAAAAAATAAAATAATATACTTAGTGTTCAGGGATATATGTGTATTTAGTAAAACTACAGAAAAGCAAAATGATTAATGAATTAGCATACAGACTACATTTGTTGAGGGGAAAAAGAAGGTTGGATTTGGGGTGAGTTGCATAAAGAATATCAGATTTAATGACTTAAGTTTCTTAAATTGGTGATAGATACACAGTTGTTTTATTCTATAAATAGTACATGAAGTTTGTATATGTGTGTGTGTGTGTGTGTGTGTGTGTGTGTGTGTGTATTTTGGTACCGGGGATCGAACTTGGGTCCTTAACACTTGTGGGGCAGGCGGCGGAACCACTGAGCTAAATCCCTGGCCCAACAAAAAAATATTTTTAAAAGAAAATCTGAGAATTGAATTGTCACCCACTATAGGAGATACTTTTAAAACTTTAACCACTGAGAATATTGTAGTACTGTTATTATCTAAATGGTATAAGCTTTTTAGTTTGACTTAAAATTTAATGTAGGGTTATACAATTGAACCATATACCCCTTAAAATTGTAAATAAACCTATTGAAATTTTAAAATGATGTATTGGAGGCATTTATGAGGTAGAAAAAGAAGCTTCTTTCTATTAATGATTAGCCTTGTGACCTTAGGCCGTGATGCAGATTCAGTGTTTCTCCGTTTCAAAGATAATGGGTGGGGCATGGTGGTGCTTGCCTGTAAGCCTAGCACTTCAGAGGCTGAGGCAGGAGAATTGCTCTGAGTTCAGCCCAGCCTGGGCTACATAGTGAGACTCTGTCTCAGAAAAACCAGAACAACAAAGAACAAAGACAAGGAGCTTGGAGTAATGTCCATGAGATCAGCTCTGATTTTTCTGAATATTGATGTATAGTTTTTCTTTTTGTCCTGGTACCAGGAATCAAACTCAGGACCTTGCACTTGCCAGGCAGGTGAGGTGCGCTGAGCTACATCCCCAGCCCTGATGTATAGTTTTTTAATTGTCAGAGCACAGCCATGAGTTAGATTGTTGTCTAATTGGTCTGTTGGATTGTATTCCCAGGTCTGTGCAGTTTGGATGAATTGGGCTATATCAGTTTTTACCAACCTTCCCATGTTTTATTTGTTAAAGGAACCACATTTCCTGATCCTGGAGTGGTAGAATTTTTGAGGGAGTCTGTGAAATGCTGTGTTTTCTAGCCACAAATTGCAGCCCTTTGAGTATCCAGTTTTAGTGTTTAAGGGATGCTCCAGCCCTCAGCAAGCCTATTTTAATAGTATGTTTTTCTTGTCCCTAATTACAAGGACAGGCTTTCTTTTCATCTTTTTTTGGCCTCAATGTCACCATCTATAAAATGGGTATAGTATATACAGTAGTACTTTGGTTTATGAACTTAATTTGTTCCACAATCCTGGGGAAACTGGCCACATTTGTGTTCGTGCAAAAAAAATGGCCGTGTTCATGTTTGTCACCTGATGCAGATTTTGCTAACAAAATCAAAATTTTGCCAAACAATTCTTAGTTACTTTTCTCTCATTGCTGAGACAAAATATATGACACCTGAAGTTAAAGGGGGAAAGGTTTATTTAGCTCAGTTTGTAGAGGCTTCAGTCCATAATCAACTGGCTCCAAGGCAGGGTGGCACATGGCAGAGGGGCAGTAGTTCATGGTGGCGGAAGACAGCAAAAGCAACAAGGAGACAACATCTTTCTGCCCCTTTTATCTTATTCAGACTACTTACCAACAGGAGCACTCATACCCTTAATCCTAGTGCCCTCAAGCCTAGCACTGTACCATAAATCAGTCACACACTCTTTATTCAGCCACCTCTGAAAGAAGCCCTACCTGTGACTGTGGGAGGCTCTGGGGAGCATCTAGACACAACCATTACAGCTTCTGTTTCCGAACCAAATTATTCACAAACAAAAGCATTCATGAACTGAGGTACCACTATATTCTTAAGGTCGTTCTTGAGTATTGAATGAAGAGAAAAATGTAAAGTGCTTACCACAGCAACATATACTCGATGCTTAATAAATGTTCGCTCTTGTGGTTATAATTGTTACCGCTGTCATTACCACTGTTAAAAAGATTATTTGCAAGGTATAGTTGCCTTCATTCTTAGTATTAATCACTTAGTTGTAGCCCAATGTAAGATCTAGTCTGATGTTTTTAGGCCCAGGCTCTTTTTTTATGGTTAAGCTTATAGTCATGTAGAAAATAGCTCTAATATGTCTATTTTACTATATAAGTGGCAATTATATTTCTCCTTAAAAAAAGATACCTGATGATAATTATATCCTAATTAATAAGAGGATAGGTAACATTAGAATGGCCATTAATATTTAATTTATGCAATGCTGTAGAAATCTTCAGTAGGATTAAGAAGCATAGTGCTTTGTGATTATATTATAGGACATGTTTTCTCCTCTGAGAATGTTTAGTATAGTGACTAACTACACAGGCTCTAGAGCCAGGTTATCCAGATTCAGATCCATTTTCTGCCACTTATTGGCTTTGTCACAAGCTTTATAAGAGCCTGACTACCCGGGACATAGGAGTTACATAAATTTTAATGACTAGTATTATTTTTATTTGAGGGAGGGCATAATGGAGAGACCCAGATCTGGGAATGATACCTTTAGAAAGTAATGGGAATGGACATTTAAATAGTTCTTGAAAAAAAATCTTGATTTGGCAGGTAACGATGGTTTCACCCAATTTATGTTGACATGGGAATGTCATAACACTGTTTACCATTTCTTCTTTCTCTTAGGTTGGATTTTTTGTGAAGAGAGGATGTTCCAAAGGCAAGGTTGAAATTGAATTGTAAGTGTTAAAAAGTGCTGATATGCCTTTTTATGTACAATTTTTTATTTTATCTTATGCTTTCCTAATTAACCATGGAAAAGAGTATGATATAGTATTGTTGCATAAATGTTAGAAATAATATTTAAAGATTACTTTATCCAAACAACTTTCTTTTTTAACTCATCTCTTATAATGTAAATTGTAAGAATTTTATTTTGGAAAATTTTTTAACAAGATTCTAAGTTTATAGGAGGTAATGAAATTATACCACTGCTAAATATTCATTAAGAAATTGCAATACTTTTTACAATTTAAAATAATCAGCTTTTGGCTGATTTTGAAAGTTTAAAGAAATGCAGAAAAAGAAGTGTGTGAGTTGAAAATGAAAGCTTTCTTGTTATAATTTACTTCTAGGACTAATCACTTTTAATAGTTTGATGAATTTCATGTATGACAAATACTTGGCACTTTTGTTATCATTTTTCATGCCCTTCCTTATGAGTTCCTTTTCTTTCAAGCCTGAGTATTGTCCTTTGACCTCTTTTCGCAACTATTTCTGATGAATCAGAATTGGTACTTGTGCTGAAACCAGTTGACCAGCTTTGGTATATATACATTTAGTCTTTGTGGATTTAAAAAAAAAAATAGGAAAAAGCTTAAATTGGAATGTAAGAGAAAATGGAAAGGGACTTTAGCTTGAAGAGCTAATGATGATCAGGTCAGCTCTTAACAAAGGACAGTGAGGAAAAACAGGAAAAGGACTCCTTAGTTTGAGCATCTGGAGGGAGCCCAGTCTGCTGAAGAAGATCAGGCTGGCAAACTACAAAAGCAAGAGGCCAGCTTTTGAAGGTTAGCTGAGGTGATTATTATTCTCATTCTTGGTCCTTAGCTCTGGAAGAATCCTCATAGCTGGAAGAGTGGTTCCATTCCAATGAAATGGTTGTCTCTGTTTGTGGTGGTTTCAGTCTAGTGAGCCTGTTTTTCCTGGAATCCAGTTGACTTTCAGTTTAGGGAGATGAGAGGAGCAGAATAGAGAAAGTGGGAACAGAACTAAAGAGAATTTTATCTAAAGATGGCTGTTTTTTTATTTTCACATTCAACACAACACAGTACACTTTTGACACCACTTTCTCCACACTCTGCAATTCAGTTTGGGCACTAATTAGAGTTAGTGCAGAACCCAAAGGTTTGGAACTCAGTTCTAAAGACTGCCACTCACATTAGAGGTCATTTGCAAGTTTCAGGTCGTGACCTATACTTCTCACCACCTAGGTATAAATTGGGGTTTCTGGATCCCCTTCCTTGGTTTTGATTATTTGCTAAGGCAACTCATAAAATTCATAGAACTTTACTTAGATTTACCAGTTTATTATAAGGTCTATCATAGAGGATATAGATGAACAGCCAAGTGAAGAGATTCTGAGGGAAAGGTCTGGAAGGGTCCTGAGTGCAGGTCCTCCCCTCTTCATGGAGGTGGGATGCACCACCCTTCCAGCACATAGATGTGTTTACCAGATAGAAGTTCTCTGAACCCCATAGTTAAGGGATTTTTATGGAACTTCATCACTTGGGCTCTCAGTCTCTACCTTCCCTTCTCATAGTGTAGTGGTGGGGTTTTCCAAACTTTTAATCATGGTTTGGTCTTTTTGGTGACCAGCACCTGTCTAGGAGCTCACCAAGAGTAGAAAAGACACTCTTGTCACCCAAGAAATTGTAAGGGATTAGGAGGCAACTAGGAATGGAGGCAAAGGCTAAATGTATATTTTTTAATATGTCACAATATGAGAGATACAAATTACTCAAACTGAATTGGCTATTGTTTTTTTAAAAAGAATTTAGAATTTTATCTGATACTCTACAGATGAATAGAATTTAGGTGTATTAAATACTAAGGAAAAATTATATAACTTTGGAAATAATAGGAAAAAAGTGGAATACTTTAAAGTCTTGACAAAAAAAAAAAAAAAAATCAAAAAAGGGCTGGGGATTTAGCTCAGTGTTTCCAGCGCCTGTCTTGAAAGTGCAAGGTCCTGAGTTCAATCCCTGGTACCAAAAAAAAAAGATAAAGTCTCGGGAAAGGAGAAGACCTTTCTAAACAGAACAAGAGTCCCAATAGCCATAAGAAATAATAAATTTAGGTTCTATAAAAACCCAACTAAAAATAATGATACTCTAGTTACATACGAGTTGGAAGCTGGGTATAGTGGCACCACATACTCAGTAGGCTAAAGCAGGGGATCACTTTGTGTTCAAGTCCAGGCTGAACTGCAGAATGAGACCCTGACTCAAAAATAACAAACAAAACAAAACAAAAAATGAGTGGTATGTGGAAGAAAACATTTTTAGCATTGAAAAACGGGGACAGGTCTTAAAATTACTAATACCAATGTCTCATGCAAATCAGTAAAGATTATAAACAACCTAATGTAAAAATGAGCAAAGAAATTTAAAATGAATGACCCATAAACATAAAATAGCAGCTAACCCACTAGTTAGAAGAAAATCAGGATAATGAGAATTTTTTTTCAGCCTAGAAAAATTTAAAATTCTAAACTATTTGAAGGCATAAGCAAGTAGATATTGTTATGCCCTGTTCTTGGGAGTGTAACCAATATATTACTTTGGGCTATATCTATCAGCACTTAGAATATGTATAAATATATCATATACATATATACATACATATATGTGATATACACACACACACACACACACACACACACACACACCCTTTTAGCTAGTTATTCTATTTCAGTAGTATCTATTATAGAGAATGTTTACTCATTTACACAAAATTAGCTTTCTCTAATCTTTTTTTTGGAGGGAGCGGTTTGAGACAGTGTCCGGCTGTGTGGTCCAGGCTGGCTGAGCTTGAACTCGAAGTGATCCTCCTGCCTCAGCCTCTTGAGTGCTGGGATTACAAATGTGTGCCACCGCACTGGGCTGCTTTCTCTAATCTTAATAGTAAAAAATTATAAACAACCCAATCAGCTGTTGAATGACCAAGTAAAGGTGGTATGTCCACACAATAACCTATTTTTCAGCCATAAGAAGGAGTGAGGTACTGATACATGCTGTATTATGGGTGAACCTTCAAAACACTATGCTGAGCAAAAGAAGGCTATAAATTGATTATATGAAATGTCCAAAAGAGACAGATCCATAGAAGCAGAGAGTAGACTAGTAGTTTCCTAGGGTATGAGTGGATAATGAGTATAGATTTCTTTTTGGAAAATGATGAAAGTATTCTAGAATTAGATAATGGTCATGGTTGTACAACCTTGTGAATATACCAGAAACCATTGTTGAACTGAATACCTGAAGATGGTTAAAATGATATATTTTATATTATGTATATTTTATTATAAAATATGTGTATACTTTAAATGGTGGATATATGATTTGTGAATTAAATAGTGATCGCAGGCCTTAGGCCCTCCTGATTTTGTGCTCTAAATCGCTAGGCTGTTTTCTTATCTAAAAAGTTATGTATGTTAGTATACAGTAGCTACCAGCTCTTGTGGCCATTGACTAAAACCCTGTTAGCAAATCTGGCGCAAAGGGAGGTTCCCTTTCCCTATTCTCCATGTGGTTACATTGTGATTACTTGTTTGTTCTAGTGTCCAGGTGTTCATGAGAATACCAAGCATAAAACAGTCATCTTTAGTTGTTGAGATTACTGCTGTTAATCAAATACGTAAACTGGCCATGTATTCATAAGTGATAGAATAATCTCTGGCATATATACTTTTTTCAGTACCTATACATTGGAGATATAATAGTCTGCCCTCGTGGAATTTATAGTTAGCAGCATATAAGTAAAATATACCGTTATACTATGTTAGTTGGTGATAATTGCTGCACAGAAAAATAACAGGAGGAAATATGAGCAGGAGTGCCAGAGTATTCCAGTTTTAGATGAAGTGATCAAGAAAGTTCTCAGTGAGGGCCAGGGATTTAGCTCAGTGGTTCTGGTGCCTGCCTCGAAAGCGGAAGATCCTGAGTTTGATCCCTGGTACCAAAAAAAAAAAAAGAAAAGAAAAGAAAGTTCTCAGTGAGAAGACAACATCTGAGCAAAAGTCCAAGAAGGGAAGTGTTAGTTTTCTCTCGTTGCTGAGACAAAATACCTGACACCCAAAGTTGGATGGGAAGGGGCTTATTTGGCGTACAGTTCTTAGAGGTTTTAGTCCATAATCGGGTGGCTCCAAGGCAGCGATGACAAACAGGCATTACAGAGGAAAAATAGCATGACATGCATGCACAAGGTAGCAAAGGTAACAAGAGAGTTTAACAGCATCTTTCTGCCCCCTTTATCTTATTCAGACTGCCAGGACTAGAGTGGTGCCAAACCACTCACTCTTGAGTAGTGGTTTAGTAATCACATACCCTTAATCCCAGCATCACACATTCCAGATTCACCTATCTCTGACTGGATGAGGCTTTGGGGCGATACCCAGACCCACAATATAACAGGAAGGTTATGACATAGAGATATTTGAGAGGAAGAACATTTCAGGCAGAGAGATGGGCAAATACTAAGGCCTTAAAGTGGTCCCCAGTGTGACTGGATTACATTGAAGGAGGGGAATAGTGAAAGGTAGGGTGTAAAAATATCAGGCTGTCAGTTTGTAGGACCTTGTAGCCAATGTAGGGATCTGATATTTACTGTCTTTTGAAATAAGATGTGAGGCTACTAGGTTTTGAACAGCTCGATGACATAATCTATCTTAAATTTTAAGCAGATCTAGGCCGGGGATTTAGCTCAGTGGTTCCGCTGCCTGCCTTGCAAGAGCAAGGACCTGAGTTCGATGCCTGGTCCAAAAAAAAAAATTTAAGCAGATCTAAAAAGCAAGGGCTTCAGTCAAGTGACTAATATAATGCCTAGTTTAGAATTTGTTCACAAGTTAGACATGGGTGTAGGAGAAGATAAAAGGCACTAAGGAAGAGTCCACAGTTCTGTTTCTGACATGCTTATGGTAAGATTTCCATTGACAGGTATAGAAATCTGCTACAGGAGGTTTGGGAAGTAATATTAGAAATTCATTTTGTGGTAAATCATATTTTATTGAACTGGGATGTTACCATTTACAGTTTCCAGTTAACCCGACACAGATAGTTTGAAATGTGTATCCCAATTTCAGAAATGTTTAAATCTTTAAATAATTGTTCATAGTATGTTATATAGAAGTATGAAAATGCCACTATGGGTGTGGTGGCAAATACCTGTAATCTCAGCACTTTGGAGGCTGAGGCAGGAGGATTGGCATGAGTTCCACCTGGGCTACATAGTGAGTTCAAGGCCAGTTTGAACTACATAGCAAGATCCTATCTCAAAAAAAAAAAAAAAGATCTTCAGGACATATTGGCCGGGTGTGGTGGCACATACCTGTAATCCCAGCACTCTGTGAGGCTGAGGCAAGAGGATCTGTGGGAGTTCGAGGCCAGCCTACGCTACTTAGTGAGTTTAAGGCCAGCCAAAACTGCACAGCCAGACCATCTCTAAACAAATTAAAAAGCCACAGTGAAACCCAATATGCTGTATAGTTAATATACACTATTGTGGGTTGGGGAAAACACTTTCCTAACTACTGATTTAATTTTTTTTTCTAACTGTACTGATTAGGTTTACTTATTGGTAATGGAATTATTTAGACTTTATTTCTTCTTGAATCATTATTATAGTTTATTAATGACATCTATTGTCATATATGTTACATAATTTTTGTGTCATCTGTAGTTGCATTCATTTTTTTTATTTTTTTGGTTTTTGTTTTTTTGAGACAGGGTCTGGCTGTGTAATTCAGGTTGGCAGGCTGCCCTTGAACTCACTGTGTAGCCCAGGCCGGCCTTGAACTTGGAGCAATCCTCCTGCCTCAGCCTCCTGAGTGCTGGAATTGCAGGTGTGCGCCACCACACTTGGCTGTTCTTTTTTTTTTTTAATCAGTCTGTCATAATAGTCTTTCAGTCAGCTAATTTTTGCATTTTCTTATATGTCATGATTTTCTTTTTCACAAATTTATATTCTTACCTTAAACTTAACAACGAATTCCTCCTCTCCCATCCTCCCCTGCCCCTCCCCCCAGCACTAGTATTGGGAAATCTAACCCAGGTGTACTCTCCTACCAAGCTACATCCCTAGCACTTTTTCTATTTTGGGACAGGGTCTCACTAAGTTGCCTGGGCTGGGCTTGAACATTCCACCATGCCTGGCTTTCTTGCAGTTTGTTTGATTTGGGGTTTTTTTCTGATTTCTTGAAATGATATACAGTTAGTTTTTTTGTTTTGTTTTGTTTTTGGTAGTGGGGATCTAATTCAGGACCTTGCACTTGAAAGGCAGGCACGGTGCCACTGAGCTAAATCCCCAGCCCTAGTTATATTACTCTAATTGTTCAATCTTTTCTTAACACAAACAAGTTGTTTCTTTTTTTTTTTTTTTTTTGGTACTGGAGATCGAACTTGGGTCCTTGCGCTTGCGAGGCAGGCAGCAGAACCACTGAGCTAAATCCCCGGCCCAAGTTGTTTCTAACTGTAGTGTAATGATTTTGTTGTTACAGTTTTAATATTTGTTTCTACTTTGTTGTGTGGTAAAATGTGTCTGTATTAGTCTCTTAAAGTATGTAGTCTATTTGCATGTATCCTAATTACCTGTATGTTTAAACTTATTTTTGTTGTATTCTCATATTATTTGTGCCACTCTTCAGTATTACTCTTCAGAAATGCTCTTCAGTATTTCTTTCCTCTCTCATTGGATTTAATTTTTTTTTTTGAGACAGGATCTCGCTTTGTAATTCAGGCTGACCTTAAACTCACCGTGTAGTCCAGGCTGGCCTTAAACTTGAAGAAATCCACCTGTCTCAGCCTCCCACGTGGTGGGATTACAAGCATGCACCGCCATGCCCAGCTTTCTCATTGGAGTTTTGTTTCATTTTTCCTTCTCTGTTGTCTTGGAAATTATGCATTCTTCTTGTTTTAGTGATCACTAGAGTTTTTTACATAAATCTTATTAAAGTTGTTAGCTTTGAGCTTTCTACTGAACAGTTAAAAACCTTACTTTGATTTTCATAACTTCTTCAAACTAAAAACTTAAAATTCAATCTTATTTAAATGCCTCAAAACATTATTGTTAATAATATACTAATTATACTTTCAGTATTTGTTTAGGATTATCTCATATTTCTACTTGATTTTTCATTCTTTCATGTGTCTTTAATTTTTATTTTTAGTACTGTACCCTGAACCTAGGGCCTTATGCCTACTAGACAAGTGCTCTACCAATAAGCTAAATCTTCATCCCTCCCTCTTGCATTTCTTATCTTCCCTTTGGGGTTATTATGTTTCTGCTAGCAGGACATTTTTAAAATTTTGCATTAATTGGGATCACTAGTGGAATATTCCGTTTTTTAGACAAATGATGTTATTTTGCTTTAAATCTTGAAAGTTGTATTTGCTAGGTATGAAACTATACTGACAGATCTTTTCTCGGAGTATTCAAAGTATAGTGCCATTGTCTTCTAATGTAAATCTGATCCTAAATTTCTTTGATAATCAGTCTCTTTTTCTCAAGGTACTTTAAGAATTCTTTGTGTGTTTGGTGTCTTATACTTTCATGTCATATTTAGATATAGATTTTGTTTTTATTTTTCTTGATATTTAGGAGTTTGCTAAATGGTTTGGTGTCTTTCATCAGTTCTGGAAAATCTTTATCTGTTGTCTTTTTGAATATTGCCACCAAACCATTCTGTGTCTCCCATACTTCTAGAACTCTTACTAGACAGATACTAAGCTTTCTTAGTCATCCATGTCTCTTTAACATCTTTTATGTTTTTCATCTTCGTGCTTGTGTATTTGTTTTTTTTTCCTTGTTTCTGGTCAGCTGCTTTCTCTGGGTTTTTTTTGTGTTGCTGTTGTTTGTTTTGTTGTTGTTGTTGTTGTTGTTGTTGTTTTGAGACGAGGTCTCTCTATGTAGTTCAGGCTAGCCTTGAACTCACTGTGTAGCCCAGGCTCGCCTCAATGCTTCTTTTTCTTTGAACATTATCTGTGCTAATTCTTTGAAGATAAGGTAAATTTCTGAGGAAGAAAGTTTCACCAGCTTGTCAGAGACTATTGGATACTTAGAAAAACAGGTCCATAATCAATATATACTTAATTCTTATCTGGGAGGTTAGTGAACCTTGTAAGTTATGTAACCTCAAGATATAAACCTATATGAGGCTGACTTGGGGTTGGTTCTCTTAGGGATGGCTTGTTTTTCATAGTGCAGGCCATAGTTTGAGACAGGCAGTTTTGCCTTGTCCCTAGTGGTGGTGGCAATGAACTATGCTAAGGGTGTAGCTCTTTGGGGGTGGTTTTCTACACTTGGTCTTAGCCAAAAGGCCTAGAAGCGATTGGGGGTGGTTTTCTATTACAGTCGGTACCAGGGATCAAACTCGGGATCTTGTGCTTGTGAGGTAGGCATCAGAACCACTGAGCTAAATCCCCAGCCCCTCTATTACACTCTTGATGTTGAGTAGCTCAAAGCTTTGTCTGCAATGTCTCTGCCAGGAGATCATGAAAATGAACCCTCAAGAGACCCCTGGCTGGGCAGATGTCCTCAAGATGAAAGTCAGTTTTATTTTCTTCACTCTGGGTTCTCACCTGCACTAGCATGTTAGCCAGAACGCCTTATCTTCATGCTAACTAATAAATGCATTTATGAAGATAGTTTTATTATTTTTAGTTGTCTATAGCAGAAGGGTTAATAAGGGTATTTCACTAGTCATTTTGCTCAAAGAGAAAACTTAAAACTACTTTTTAAAAAGTTTTGTAATCTTATCATTTGAAGTATTCTGGTTACCATATAATCTTATATATACAACATTTACAAATTATTGTCGTTCAGGCATTAGATACCAATAATTTATCTTTTTACTACATGCTGCTGATTCCCAGTGAAGAAGATGGATGAATAGATGGGAGGTGTGGAGCAGTAGTACTTCTAAAAGCAAGAAATAAGTAAATACCCTTCTTTCAGATTCTATATTACTTAATGTTCCTTTGTAGCCATGTAATGTAATTCTCTCTGAATTCAGAGTGGGGTACATGTTGAGGAATCAATGGGCCACCCGTCTAGGCAAGTCAGTTTTGATTTCTGGAAATGCTTACGCAGGAGTGGTCTTCATTCAGACATTTTCCAAGTAGGGGAAATTTCAAGGGTTAACTGTTACGTGCTTTAGTACACCAAGTCATTCTGAATTGCAGTCAATGCATGTGATTGAAAAATAGCACAATGATTAAAGGAGAAATAGCTCCAGATACACGACTCTTCTGGTAGTGTTTGGGAATTAATGTTGGCATTTGCATTAATTTCACTTTAACATTTTAAATAATTTTGAATGATGAATAAGTAGTGACTGACATGTGGTCAGTTATAGTATTACTAATAAGATGTCCAGGTTTCCTTCTTGGGAGGGACCAAAATATCAAAAAGAATAAAAATGTAATAGTCCTATCCTGGCACCTTTGGTACAAGTGAATGTTGAAAGTTTTATTTCTAAACTAATGTATGTGTTCTGAATATAAAGATCTTAAAATTATTTTTTAATTAGGTTCAGGACTTCTGGAAACCTGCTTATCACCCGTGAGATTGATGTGGCAAAAAATCAGTCCTTTTGGTTCATCAACAACAAGTCTACAACCCAGAAAGTAGTAGAAGAGCAAGTTGCAGCCTTAAATATTCAAGTGGGCAATCTTTGCCAGTTTCTACCTCAGGTATGAGAAATAAATGTAGACATGATGCCATATCAGAATCTAAATAGTTTTCAAGGGATAATGTACTGATTACTGTCTACATTGCACATGGCATAATACACAACAATGTAGATAGTACATTAATTTCTTTTTTTCTTCTTTTTCCTCAGTAATGAGGATTGAACCTAGGGCTTTCACAATGAGCTCCATCCCCAACCCTTTTTAACATTTTTTTTATTTGAAGACAGGCTCTCAATAAATTGCCAAGTGGTCCAGGGTGGGCTTGAACCTGTGATCCTCCTACCTCACCTTCCCAGAGAGCTGGGATTACAGGTGTGCCCATTGCTGAACATAGCAGCCCCCCCAGCCCCATTTTTTTCTTGTATTATTGAAGATTGGACCCAAGCCCTTTGCATTGAGCTATGTCCCCAGGCCCATTATTATTTTTCTTTATTGTGAAACAGGGTCTCATTAAGATACCGAGTCTAATTTTGAATGATCCTCCTCCCTCAGCCAGCACTCTTTTAATACTGACAGTTGAATGTAAAAGGCAGTATCTTGTATAGTATAATATCAATTTTATTAATAAAAGTATAAATTATAGTGTTTTAAATTAAATAGTGGTATTATTAAGTATGTGAATAGCTTTGGTAGCTATATGCTTCATTTGTAGAACCTTAAGATTTTGCCAGTCAACAGTTTTTTAAAAATCATTTTAATGTATTTGTGTAAAATACTTGATATACTAAAACTCATATTGATAGATATACCTGCTGAAATAGTTAAATCTTGAATTCATAAAAATTAAAATCCTGATTAAGCATGTTAAATGTTAAAATCAAATACCTCTTAAGTTGGTCTTTAAATGTTGTTTAGTGACAGAATTATAGTTCATTTTCTTTAGAAACACAGTGATGGCTGGGTTAAATACATCCATTTGAAATTTGAGATTTGAGATTTTTGCATTCACCAGTTATGTCAGATTGTCTCCAGAAGTAGAGGCTTGAAATTGCTTTCTTTAAAAAAAAAAAAAAAAAAAGACCATTTCAACAGTGAGTTGATAGAGTTAATCATTTTAATCCAAGAGACTTATTTTTCTTTTATCCACAAAGTATTTATTATATTTATATAAACATTTCAACTTGGAACTACTGACACAGAAGTTTTTTAAAGATTATCAAAAAGATTATTGTATATACCGTAAATTTATCTTTATTGAAGAACAGCATAAAAAAGTTTATATGAACATTCATATCTCAAAAGTTTTTTTTGTTTTTGTTTGTTTTCCCATACTGGGGATCAAACCCAGGGAGTTCTGAGTAAAATTCCCATCCCTTTTTAGTCTTATTCTAAAGCAATGTCTCCCCGTTTTGCCCAGGCTGACCTTTACTATGTGAGCCTCCTGCCTTGGCCTCTTAAATTTCTGGGATTACAGGTATGTGCCACTATGGCCAGCTCAACATAAAGGTTTTTTTAAGTGAAAAAATTTTCCCCCAAAGCAAAGTTGAACTGGTTGTTGAACCCAAAGGCCTTTGCACTGAGCTACATCCTCACCCCCCCACCATTTTTTTATTTTGTGGTAGAGTATCATTAAAGATGGTAAATTTCCCAGACTGGACTCAGACTTGCAGTCCTCCTGCCTCAGCCTCCCAGAGTGCTGGGATTACAAGCACTTTGGGTCACCATGCTTGGCTGAGTGAGGTCTGTCTTGACAAATAATCGATAAGTAAAATATATTTTTCTTATATTTATAAGTGATAATTGTTGCAGGTGTTTAATTTTTGTGCTCTAGGACAAAGTTGGAGAATTTGCAAAACTCAGCAAGATTGAACTCCTTGAAGCTACTGAGAAGTCAATTGGTCCTCCAGAAATGCACAGATATCACTGTGAACTCAAAAACTTCAGGGAGAAAGAAAAACAACTAGAGGTATTTATAGACAACTTATTTCTGCTATCCTTTTCTGATTTCTATGTCTTAAATTTTGGAATAGTGCCTTAGAATTAGAGTTAGGGTTCTCATTGCTAACACTAAATACCCTTATACTTACACGTTAAAAGAGGAAAGGTTTACCATTTGTAGAGGTTTTAGTCCATAGTCGGCTGATTCCAAGGCAGGGCAGCACGGCAGAGGGGAAACAGTCCATGGCAGGCAAGCAGCAAGCCTGCCTTTCTATCCTTTTTAGATTCCACCTAGGCTATAAGCCTATTGATTGGTGCCACTCACTCCCAGGGTGGGGCTTCTATTATCCACATCCAGAGCTATGCTAAACCAATTTAATCATCACACACTCTTAATCCTAGTAACACATCCCCCCAGTCCAGCCACCTTGAAAAATGAGTACATAAGGCTTTGGGAGGACATGTAGTTGTAACAAGTAGTGAGTAGTAGTTGTATTCCTGAATGAGTTATTTTTAATTTTATTGCTTTTTTTTTTAAACCCAGGATTATGTTTGTTGACATCAATTAAAGTGACAAGAATTAAAATTGATAATGTAAAGTTTAAAAAATTTATTTTAGTGGTTCCGCTGCCTGTCTCGCAAGTGCAAGGTCCTGAGTTTGATCCCTGGTACCAAAAAAAAAAATTTTATTTCAGCAATACATATTGCTGTTTTTAATTGAGTTTTTAAGGAACCCATAATAATATTTTTTTCTCTTAGGAAGTTATATGATTTTGTCATTCAGTTAGTACTGTTAATCACCTACCATGTGCCAGGTACCATCTAAGCTTGTAGATAATACAACCGATAACGGGTGTGGTGTTTAATATCTGTCTCAGTTGAACCAGTTTTCTCATTGTATTTTTTTCAGTCTCATAAAAGTAGACTTTCTAAAAAAAACTTTGTATGTTTAATTGTGTTAAGTTTTTAAAATTATCACACTTCAGAAATGTCCTTTTATAATATGGTATTTGTTTTATTTAGTGGATCTTTTTTCATATCCCTGCATCTAAAATAAATTAGTATATTTTCATAATGAGAAATCTTATAATTCTGTACTTGGTAATACATATTTAATTATAATAAAATATTTTTATAATGCTAATTCATTGGGGTTCCATAATCTAATAATCATAGTGCTACTTTTCATTTGTATATCATTTTGCAACTTTTGTTGACACCAGTTGAGCATTCCTAATCAAAAATTTGACATGCTTGAAAATCTGAAACATTTTTAGTGTCACATTGGCGCTCAAAATGTTTAAAATTTTATCTGAGTGTGGTGGCGCATGACTGTAATCGCAGCACTCCAGAGGTTGAAGCAGGACAATTGAGAGTTCAAGGCTAGCTTGGACTACATATTGAGACCCCATTTTTAAGAAAAGTTTCAGATTATGGAGCATTTCAAATTTTGGGTGTTCAGGTGAGAGATACTCAGCTGGTAACATCTATGAAAATATTCTAAAATCTGACAAATTTCAGAATCACAGATATTTCTGCCACCCCCCTCCTGCATTTTGTATAAGGGATACTTAATCTTTTTGAACAAACTGCTTCTACCCTTGCAGTTGGTGGGGGAGATAACTTTTATCTTTAAGCGAGATGAGTCCAGATTCAGAGACATGACAGGGCTTTCTCACAGTCACCTGGCTAATAAATTGTAGAAACTCGACTAGAGTTTGTGTATGAATGTTAACTTTTAACCACTTTACAGTTTACCCCGAGCATTACTCAGGCAGCATGTTTGTTTAGTTTATATACTGACTACCCTAAGTGTTGCTCGGGGCAGGTGTCATTTGAATTACTTGATTCTTGTATTGAATAAATTTTGATAAAATTGTCATTTTCATATTTCCTGTTATCTTATAAAAATTAACAAAAAATATGCAATTTTTGGTCATCTTATATTTAAATAATTGGACTGATAAGTGGTTAGCACAGTTCTTAATTGTGAAATGTTGCTACCGTTGTTTCACTGTTAAAAGACTTGACCTGTTGTCTTTTTTCAGTTAAACTAATTGTCCAACAAATATTTTATTTTAGACCTCATGCAAAGAGAAAACTGAATATCTAGAGAAAATGGTTCAGAGAAATGAAAGATATAAACAAGATGTTGAGCGGTTCTATGAACGTAAGCGACATTTAGATTTAATTGAGATGCTTGAAGCCAAAAGACCGTGGGTGGTAAGTCTTAATTATTAAAGGCAAAAACAGTAAGGCAGTAATTAAGCAGTAATAAGGAAGGCAGCAATTACTTTGTAGTCAAATCAGGTGCTTTTTCATTTTTGCTCCACATACTACACATAATAAAATTTATGAGTTTTATTATATAGATGTGTGAGTCAAGTATAATGGTAAATTATTGCTCTTAACCCTTTCAGATTTTAGTCCTTAGCAAGTAATTCTTTGATTTTTTGAAGAAAAAAAATGTTAAAGATCTGAAAGTGTTTATACTTGTGAAAATTTTAAGTCTTTGCATGTCCTCAGGTCACTGAAAATTTACTTAGGCTATTGCCACTTATATCAAATTCATCTACAAATGTAGCTATCTTAACTTTAGTTTTCTATTGATGTTGCATAATTTTCTTGAGGCTGTTATATTCTGATCACTTGTATGATGAGTATTTTATTACCTAAGACCAAAGTTTCAGCTAAAGATTGAGTTCCCTCAATGCCATTACTTTTTAGTAGTTGGAACAAAATAGTAAAAAATATTTTTTTAGGGTTTGTTTTATGTTTAAAATGAAATGTTTGTTATAGTTTGAAAAAGAATATTATAGTATTCTTTCCTCTTCCCTGTTTCAAATTTCATTACTGTATTCTTAAACTTTTTCCTTTCTTCAAACTTTTTGAAGCATTTTCTCCCTGTACACTTTCATTTTCACCCACTTTAATCCTTTGAAGTCTTTTGTTTGATTTCAGTATTTAGAATTTTTTCTCTTAGACTGATTTGGTCTAATGTATATTTGAGTTCTTACCTTTATATTATACTCTTCATATATGCTTTTTTTTCCAGCAAAAATAAATATTAATTCCTGTGACATGACAGGCATTTTTACTTAGTGGTAGCTATACAATTCTTTTTATTTTCCTTCTTGCCAGGGATTTAGCTCATTGGTGCCGCCAACTGCCTCGCAAGTGGAAGGTCCCGAGTTTGAGCCCTGGTACCAAAACTAAATAAATAAATAAATAAAATATTTCCCTTCTGACCACTTTCTCCCCCATCCATTTTTACCTTTCATAATTCATATTATTTTGCTTCATTATATATCCCTGAATTCTTTATTGAGATATTAGAGAAAATCTCATTGTAGTGCTAATACAGTCATTTCTTAGATTTGGTTTCTGCTTGCACCTTGATTTTAGTATATGAGCTAATTTCAGCTAGCTGCTTACTGTGTTAACTTCTGTTTTTTTTGATTGTTTGTTTTTTGAGACAAGGCCTCACTGTGTGCAGTTCAGGCTGGCCTTGAGCTCACGGATATCCTCCTCTTGAGTGCTGGGATTACAGGCATGTGCCACCATGCCCAGCTAACTTCTATTTTTTGAATTATTTTTAAGGAATATGAAAATGTTCGTCAAGAATATGAAGAAGTAAAACTAGCTCGTGACCGAGTGAAGGATGAGGTAAAAAAACTTAAAGAAGGACAGATCCCTATTACACTTCGAATTAAGGAGATTGAAAGGCAGCGCTGTGATTTGGAGGCTCAAATCAAAGAAAAGGTACTTTTTCATTTTGGATAATCTGAGTTTTATCTCTGCAAACACAAAAAATACCCTGCAGTTCATTCAAAATATTTTCTGGGGTTTACTTTATTTTGATATATTCTTACTAAGTTTCTAAGTTGCCCAGGCTGGGCTCCAACTTGGAATTCTCCTGCCTCAGCCTTTTATAGGGCTGGGTTCACAAGCACCCACACCTGGCTTGAAATGTGATTGTTTTAAGTACAAAATGATTTGTAGTAGTATTCCTAGAAACATTGAGCTACTTTCGTGAATTTATTACATCTGGTTTGTAGTTATACACCCATTTGGAGGAGGATGATACAGAGAATCTGGTATTTCTTAGAATAAATAGTACACTCATTCTTTTTTATTTTAAATGTTATGGTCAGCTGGGAATGTAGCTCAGTGGTAGAGTACTCACCAAGCATGCATGAAGCCATGAGTTTAGTCCCCAGTACTGCAAAAACAAATAAATAATAATTGTTTGTGGGACCGGGGATTTAGTTCAGTGGTGCCGCCACCTACATCGCAAGCAGAAGGTCCCAAGTTCAATCCCTGGTACCAAAAAAAAATAAAAAAATGTTTATGGTCATGACTTAACATTTAGGGACTTTGGGATCCAAGAGTATGTTGAGAATAGTTTAAGAATATAGTAGTTTCCTTTTATCTGATGAGATACATTCCAAGACCCCCGAGTATATGTCTAAAACTACAGATATTCCTGGACCCTGTAAATTTTGAGTATCTTTTATGCAAAGTGCTAAGGACCAAAATGGTTTTTTTTGGTTTTTTTTTGGTACTGGGGATCGAACTCTGGTCCTTGCACTTGTGAGGTAGGTGGCAGAACCACTGAGCTAAATCCCTGGCCCAGGACCAAAGTGTTTTATATTTCAAGTTTTAGTGATTTTAGAATATTAGCATAGAATTTTTTGATTGGGCATACCTAATCTGAAAACTTCTTAGGTATCTTGTTAGTGCTCAAAATATTTCAGATTTCGAGACATTTTAGATTGCAGAGTTTTGAACTATGGATGGTCAACCTGTATATACTATGTTTTTTCCTATACTTAATACTGTTAGCTAGTTTTTTATTGGTGTGATGAAAATACCTAACATAAACAGGTTAAAGGTAGAGAGGTTAATTTGGCTCCTAGTTTCAGAGATTTGAGTTGACGATTAGCTGGTTCCATTCCTGTGGGCCTGAGATGAGGCAGAATATCATGGTAGAGCATATTCACCATATGGCAGCTGGAAGCAGAGGGGAGCATACAGGAAAGAGCTGAAGAGGAAAGGGCAAGGGACAAGATATGCTCCCCATAACCCACTCCTTTTGAGTAGGCCATCCTCCCTTCAGTATGCAGGTTTAAATCAGTTTAAACTTTTGTAAAAAAAGGTTACCCATAGCCCTTTTATCTAGAGATATATCGTATATTTACTGAAGTATGCATGTTGAGCAGTGCTTGTTGAGTGAGAAAGGTCATGTCTAGGAATATAAAATCTAAAACGAAAGGAATCACTAATTTTGACTTTGCTGCTATCATGTCAGAAAAGCTTAATTCTAGTATTGGTTAAAGTGACTTAGAATTATTAGGCTCAAGTCTAGAAGATTGAATAATTATTAAGAACAGCTAAGCATTTTAGGACTTGATTGGATCTGACTTTAAGAGAATTACTATTGATCATTTTAATTTTAGAACAAGAAAGGATTGTAGATACTGTTACCTAGACAAATTTCTTAACTTTATAGTTAAGAATACTAAGTCCTGTACCAATAAACTTAAGAAAGAAACAAAAAGAACACTACATCCTAGAGATAACATGACTGACTTCTTGAGGGATAGAGCTGATAGTTGACAGTCATTTTACATTAATAGTGGTTGGTTATAGGTAAGTTGTGGATTTATAATTTCTTTTTGGGGTACCTGAATATACTGCCAAATTACCTTTTTTTTTTACAGTGGAAGAAATGCATACAATGAATTTCAAGTCTCTTAATTAAAGAATCATTTAAAACTCTTGTTTTTCTTTCCAGTTCCTAACAGAAGGCATTGTCAAATGTCTGTGAGCCTAATTTGTTGGGCAGTCTATGTAGCCTGAGATATTTTAGAATTATTTTCATGAAGAAGTGTTCCTGAACTATGAAATAGCACATTATATTATCCTGTATTTTTTAAAGTAAGTTATTAGTACCCATAACCATGCAAGAGGGCAATAGGAATAAAATGGTTAATTTTGTTTAGTAGGGATATTATTCTCGTTCTTGTTCCCTCTGTTCCAGAAGAAAATCTTTTCCAATCTTGTGATTGTTTTTAACATTTCATGGAGTTAATACAATGTTATGGATAAGATACAGACTTTGAAATCACATAGAACTGTATTTTAAATCCCTCACTGTCATTTAAAAACAAAGACCTCATTCCCTTCACATGTAAAAAGCAGCAACATCTGATCTGACTATCCCATAGTCAGGATCATAAAATAACACAGGGAAATAAATATGAAGAGGTAAACATATGCATGTGTATTACAGCTTCTAGAGAATTTCCTATACTCTTAGTATTTTGGTGATACCTAATACAAATTTGGTTTGAAGTAAATTGTGAGGAAGGCATTGTAGGTCAACTCACATAACAGTATTTGCATGGTTGGAACTACATAATTGGATTGAATTTTAAGTAATTTTTCTCCTGTTTTACAGGCAACGGATATTAAGGAGACATCTCAAAGATGCAAACAAAAGCAAGACATTATAGAAAGGAAAGATAAACATGTAAGATTTCCTATTGGAATTTTTATTATTTTACTTTGACCTGGCTTCCCCCCATACACACACCAAGTCTGGATAGTGGGTCAAATTTTTGTTTGGAAGTTGTCCAGGATTCTTCTCATTCTCTATTTTTTATGTTAATCTGTGAAGGAGGGCCGGGGATTTAGCTCAGTGGTTCCGGCACCTGCCTCACAAGCGCAAGGTCCTGAGTTCGATCCCCGGTACCAAAAAAAAAAAAAAAATCTCTGAAGGAGATTTAAGATTTCAGTATATAATAGTTGTGCAAAAGATCACAGGGGAAAATTTCTCAAAACTACTAGTTTAGCTAATCTCACAGCTATATAGATTTTGTGGGTTAGGGGGGTGTTTCCTGGGGATTGAACCCAAGGCTTTGCTCCACTGAGCTGTACCCTAGCCCCTTAGATACAGAATTTAAGCTATTTTTTTTTTAATATAGAGTCTAGTTACACTGCTTTATGGTAAGTAAATTCAGCCTTTATGATTTTATAATTTTTTGAGGCATCCTTTGGGCTTTTATTGTGTATTTGATGTTCTATATATGTTTGAAAGATTTTGCTTCTTATATTTGACTGTATATCTATATATGTGTATATATGTTAGAATGGACTTACTATAATTGTATTACTCAAATGTTCTGCATATTACCTAGTTGATGAATCCATTTTTCACGTGTTAATACCATATCTCCTACAAGTATAGATGTGTATTTTTCCTTGTATTAATTTTTGCTACTTAGATTTTAAAGCTTTTTTTTTGTTCTTTCTGTATCATATTTGTATCATATTTCTGTATCATATTATAATAAATAATATATGCTTTTATTTTGTTTTATTTTGTTTTTGTATTTTTATTTTGAGACCGTCTCAAGTTGCTCATGCTGGGCTCCATTGTCCTGCCTCAGCCTTCCAGAGAGCTGGGACTATAATTGTGCACCGCCATACCCAACTTGAATTTTTTTCAATTTGGTGTAAAATCCTTGCGTCAGTAAAGGAGTCTAAATACTGTGGACTCTTGACTTACGCACTCAGTTCCTTCTCGAGGGCTGGTTATAATTCACGTTGGTTGTAAGTCAACACTATTTTTGTCATAAGAAATAATGGAAATACCCATAATGAATTCGGAACCTCCCAAAGCACCCCTCTTAACTAACCTTTTCGTAATAAAAAAGAGGTTGTATAATGTAGTAATTTATCAGAAACACCAGTAATTTTCCTGGTGTGTTCACCAAAAAGTTATAAAATGTGGCTAGTTTACTGGAAACAACAGTTTCACACTGTACTCACCTTTCAAGTTGACATCTTTGACTTGTAGGAAGGGAGGATGAAATGGAAGGTGGTTATTGTTTAGGAGAGCCCCCTTCCCTAAGAACAGCAGGAATCTGGCTCTCTGGTGTCCTTTCTGTCTTTGGGAGAGTCTTAGCCCACTAGAACCTGCTTCTGGCTCACTAGATCTCAACCTTTTCATACCTGTACACTGGTCTAAGGTTGGCTGTTTTTGTCTTTTTGTTAACAGTGTTCTGTAGTATGACATGATATTGTCATTAAGCAAGTGAACGCAATGATGGGCTTTTTCTCTGTCTGGGTGGGTCTTCACTACAAATGTTTGTAGCTTTGTCTATTTTTTCAGGATTTCCTTTATTTCAGAAGAAGAACTTTGCTGCACTGATTGTTGATACTCCCCCTCTTCTTCAGAAAGCTTCTCAGGTGTCATTGTCTGTTGCTCAGCCAGAAGTTGCTGAAGTTCCTTTGTAGACATTTCCTCTTAAGTGTTTTCTCACCAGTTCCTCAATATCACCACTGTTTACCTGCAAGCCTACAGACCCTAATATAGTGATGACAGTGTCATCAACCACGGGGTCAATTGAAGGCTCAGGCTCCTCTACACAGCCTTCAAAGTCTGCCCTGTATAATTTTAGGCCACACTTTCTTCCAGCCAGATTTCAGTGTCCTTAGAGAGACACTGGCCCATGATTTCTCATTTAACCCCACACAGGAAAGACCAGTATCCGTGTCGTCACTCAAGGCTTTGGTTGTAAGTTAAAACTAAAATTCTGGTCATAACCCAAGTTGTTCATAGGTGAGGCTGGTCATGTTCACATTTGCTGTCATGTTTTATACTGACAGCTTTTGTTTGATTCCTTTTATGACTTGTACTTTCTGTAGCAATTGATCAATGTTTTTACTCCATTTTTATTCTGTATTTTGAAAGTTGTATGTTGTAGACATAGTACTCTTAAAATTTAATATATTTATCTAGTAAAAGTTACTAGTATTTTTATTCTTTCACTTAATTAAGGTAAATATCTTAGCATGCTTTTATGTCTTTTTTTATATCTTCTCCACTTCTATATCACTATTAGAAATTTGACTTATTACTTCAAATGTTACTTTTTACTATTTGTATTTATTTGGATTTATTAATATGTTTTACTGGTTTATTTGATCGTGTTGCTTCCTATATCACACCTCTTCTGGTTTCGTCTTATGAGAAGGTGGGGGTTCTTTTACTTTTTCCTTGTTAGACTATCTTTTGTAGGGCTTACAGTGAGGCTGTTGGGGTGGTAAACCTTCCGAGTCCTTGCATATCTGAAAAGATCTTTTTCAAAACACTACTCTGCAATGTTATATAATTAGTGAATTCTAAGATAGAAATTTTTTTTTTTCCTCAACATTTAAACAGTCTTGCTTCATTGTTCTCTTGGGTGCTGTATTGCTCCTGAAAAGTAACACATAAGAGTAATCAGACACACTAGAGCTGTGTATAAAAAGAAAACAAAAAGGAAATTGAAGTTGATTCTAAGTGTAATAAAAAACCATGAAAAGGCCTTGAAAGTGTTTAAGCTAGGGATAACTATTTCTAACTATTTTGACTTAAGATTTAATGTGTAGTGGTGCTATTTATTGAAGTAAGGATTACCAGGAGGTAGGAAATAGTTTTATGTATTTTTTCTTCCATTAAGTTTATTGGTACAGTTCAGTTATACAATACATTTACATTCATCATTGGGATTTTGTACCTTTACATGATGCATCTTGGTTCTTGTTTTTCCCCATTCCCCTGCCCTCCCTTTACCCCCTCCACCCTTCCTATTTACAAAGACAGTTTTTCTATTTTTTCCTTGTCTCATATTTTTTCTTTTCCCTTCTTTCCTTTCCCCTACCCCTCCCACTTTCCCTACTCCTGTAGACCTTTTCTTCCTATTTCACATTATCACTTAAAGATTTTGATCCTTATTTACACTTTTAGTGTTTTACACCAGAGATACTATTGGGTATTTACACATGTGTCCTATTTATTTCACTTAAGAGTATTGCCTCAACGTGCATCCATTTAGCTATAAATTCTCTAGTTTCTCCTTTATGACTGAGTAGTACTCCATTTTATTAACAAAAACCACATCTTCTTTATCCAGTCTCCAGTTGATGGGCAACTGAGCTGTTTAGTTTTATTTTGACTATGTAACTTTCTATTTTAATTTGAACTTCTTTGTGTCTTTGAGTCTTAAATGTGTCTCTTGTAAATAGTAGTTACATCATGGTTTCTTTTAATCCATTCTGTCAGTCTGTTTTTTGAATTAGAATATATAATGCATTTACATTTAATGTAATTACTGACAAGGTAGGTTTTACACATGGCATTTTTTTTTCTTTTTCCCCCATTAAGTTTATTGGTACATTTTAGGTATAAAATACATTTACATACATCATTGGGATCTTGTACCATTACATGAGT